TATATATATATAAATTCTCATATATGTGTGTGCGTGTGTATGAGAGTATGTATGAGTTAGAAGACCTCACGAACACATCCACATGTAATCTTCTTCAACATAAATGTATATAACATTGGAAATGTCATATTAACCACATAGACACTCACACACTCTTCCTTTCTATTTTACACGAACACATATATACAAACACACGCGCAGCCACAGATCTCTCTCTCCTCTATATATATATATATATAAATATAGATAGATAGGTAGATAGATAATACTAAAGATAAAATTAATAATAAACTAAAGCCCGATAGAAAAGCGATACAAAACAAAATTAATATAACACCTCCACATCGTTTTTCTTGTCTGTCAGTTCAATCGTCTGTTCGTCCCAGAAAAGCTCTGTCGATTAATAATATTCATTATCTGCTTAAAGCCAGGCCGGTTGACTGACAGACACTTTGAGTGTGAGTAGTGAAATCAATTATGAACGTTGTAAGTAAGTGTCTGCACAAATAGTGTAAAAGGTGCGGAGAAAAGGCAAAAAAAAAAGGTGGGAATGGGCGAACTAGTAACGGGTCGTTGTATATTGCAAAGAAGATGTAATGTTGCAGGGTGGAAAACAGGCTTTTAATCGAAAGAAATTCCTAATAATAGTTTTCAGGGCGATAACTGATCAAAATAATTGCCTTTCACCGCAAAGTCTTATTTGCTTCGCCGGTAGATTCCCTTGGTGAGTGGGGTTATAGGACCCTGACGCCTGATTTGGAAGTTTCCATATTTCCGTTGGCAGCCATTCCTCCAGGTCAGCAATGAAGTAAATGGACTTATGGGCGACAGAGAGTAATGATATCCGAACATTTGTTTCTTCAGTCTAATTCATAAAAAAGTACCTAGTGTGTTAGAATTGAAAGAAAAGATGTTGGATATAGTCATGGAAAGAAAGAATAAATAAATAAAAACAAAAAAAAAACAAAAAGCAGTGAAAGATTAGAACAAAGATAAAACAAATGAATCAAGATGCCGCAATGCTGCATAATCTGAGGATCTTAAACTTAACCTGGGAATCACTAAGTAAATAATAAAATTGTGGTGACACATTTATACCAAGTACCAATTGACCACCACATCGTAGAGAAATTTCTCTTATTGACCAATATCGCTGTTGTGAGTTCGATCCTGACTGGGAAACACACATACGTAATAGTCTAAACTGTACACTATTACTAATGCAATAAGAGTTATTCCCATTGGGCACAACAGACTTGAACTGAATCTAAGTTAGTCTGTAATTAACACTTTAGTGAGTTTGATCCGCATCAGGTGCCAGACAATAGTGCTAGTCGGCACTGTACACCATTAGTACTTGTATAAATATCTAGAAAACAACTGCAGTGAGTACGAGCTTCACTAAAATTAGCTTTTGTTAGTCTAAACTGTGTCCATTAATAGAATAGTCAGCCCGGTTATCACTGAGTACCTCATTTATGTGCTGGCCTAAATTCTAGATCTTCATCCTCAACATCGTCATTCAACCTACCTATGGATGGTTAGAACTACATCGACAATCCCTTTTCACACTGTTCGCTCCTGTATTACTATCCTCAGACTCCCAATGTCCAACATTGAGTCTCGAGTTTCCTGAGTCTCAGACAGTCAATTTTCGTGCGAAGACACTCCCAGAAGGATGTCATAGGGCTAAGAATGGGACGATTTTCTTGCCTTCTCGGTGGCAGTGGCCGGTAAACTGAAATAGTTTTTTTGTTTGAGCTTGAGAGAGTTTGGTCTCAGTTCTCAGTAAATTGTTTTAAGCGTTGCAGTTTTCTAACTAGATTTGCATATGTTCCATCCAATCGTCTTTCAAGACGAGCAGATAATGTTCACGTTTCTGATCAATACAGTAGGACTGGTTCAATCAAAATTCGAAAGGTTTGGACTTTTAAGTAGGAGAGAATGTTCGAGCGACAAATCTTGTGAAGTTTGTTACACGCATCCCATGCAAGAGTCCTCAACCGTTTTGATGAATGTATTATTAAGTGACTGCATCTCGGATGGTTCAGAGGAGGTTGTGATATATTGTGTGTTACTCAAGTTGCAAGAGACCTACGTGGTTGGGACTTTGCTCAAGTGATTGCAGTAAGGATTCTGGATCCGTGATACATTAGGAAATTATATGTAAGATCATCGGCAATATTAAGCTCAGTCAGGTATTGTGAAGGGTACCGACGACTCTGCTGAGGTTTCAAAAGGAGTCCTTCTTCCTCCATGTCGCCCAGAGAAGTACGCAGAATGTATTCCAGAACAACTATAAACAGAAAAGGGGCAAGTGTGTCACCTTGCAGAACTCCTGGCCGCCGGTCTCGAAAAGGATCTCCAATCTGTGGTTGACTGGGGCAGGAAATGGCTTGTAAACTTCAATGCTTCCAAAACGAAATTGCTCTCATTTACCCACCACAGAGAACCCTCGCTGCCTTCTTTTCAGAATGGCTGGTGCCTAACGCCACGTGAGCGCTTCGTTGCGCCTGCTTGGTTTCACGCTGTCCACTGATATGAGGTGGAGCAAATACAGAGTTACAATAGCTTCATCTACCGCAAGGAATATTGGTTCTCTGTGTCGTGCCAGAAAATTTTTGTCGTCTGAGTTCATCTTTCAAATCTATATCTATAAATCAACCATCCGTCCTTGCATGGAATATTGCCGTCATATATAGTCTGGTGCCCCCGCTGTAAGTCTCGAGGTCCTCGACAAAATTCAGAGACGGATAAGCAATGTGATAGGTCCTGATCTGGCATCTAATTTACAGTCGCTTACAGTATTTTCACGGTAACTGTTCCGACAAATTGCTTTCTCTGATTCCCAGACTGCATGAACTTAAGCGAGCTACGAGTTTGATATCTTGGTCTCGCCGTTTCACTGTCGGAACGGTTAAATGTAACCGTCTCTTCTACTCAAACAGTTTCTTTTCTCGCACCTCCCGTCTGTGGAATTATCTTCCTCTTATTGGCCTACCTGATAACTATAATCTTCAAATATTCAAGTGTAATGTCAATCGACATCTTGTGATACCTTAATCTTGTTCCCCGTCCTTCTCTTTATTCTGTCCCCAAACACACCTCTTTACTCTTGTTCTATATCCTATGTAACTCCTTGCGTGCTAGTGGCACTCCCGCCTTGTTTCGGCTGAAATGCTTAAAAAAATACAATATTGGCGGTGGTGTTTCTGCAAAGAGATCTAATTACCTCAAAAATTCTGAACGGTATACCATAAAAATGAAGGATTTTGAACATGAGATCTCTGCTAATGGAATCAAGCGAAAGTCAACAAAACCTTAGCAATATAGTTATTCTCAGTGGATGCCACACATTTTCCTGGTTTAAAGTATACACAGTTACTACTGTAGTGAGGTCTATTCTAACTGGGGTCCACTCACTATGGTTCCACTCACTAGGGTTCACTAACTGGGTACTGATTTAAATTCTACACCATTACATTCGTAATGAGGTGATCCTCGTTGAGTTTTACAAACCTAATCATATGAAATTAGGTTTGGTTTTAGTTAGGAAGCTTGGTGTTGAGAGGAGATCAGCTAATATATTATCAGAGTATCAGTGACTGATTCCCCCGCGCTGGTAAATACTCCAAAGAAACATGCCGAAACTCGTAGATTACCAAGTTCGTCTAATTATCTTAGGTTCCTTGGAATGGTTCGATTCCAATGTCCCATAACAGAAGACGGAAAGTGTGACACTAAAATCCGAAGGTCCATTTTGTAGCGAAAGATTTCTTCCAAAAGCTAATCAATGTATTAAAACATAGGAAAACTTCATTAGAAACAAAGAAAGGAGTACTGGATAGTTAGGTCTTATCAGCCCTTCTATATGGCAGTGAATGTTGGACAATCTCCTCACAGATAAAGAAGAGACCTGGTGTGACAGAAATGTCGTACTACAGAAGAATGTTGTTGAATAACATGGACCGATCTTATGAGCAATTTATAACGTTTTAGAGAGAAATGAAACAAAAAGGATATTTTACTTCATCAGAAAGCGATAACTGAAATTTCTAGGGCATATGATAAAGAATGAGGGTTTGGAAAAATTGATACCCACAGGTCAGATTGTACGCAACAGCGACACTGAAAAACAAAGCATAACCTACCTAGCGGGTTTGAGTAAATGGATGACAGCGAAAGCTTAAGGAGAGATAACAAAAATATTCATTAAAATCTAAAAAAAACAACAAAAAAACCTGGCAATTGTGGAGAGTCGGGATCCTGAAAGAACACAGCATAGAAAAAAAAAAGAACAACTAAATCTCCATATATTTGTATTGTCTTTGAGCAATATCCCATAAGCTGGTCTCCTAGTTACAATATCTGTTCTGAAGAAGAAGCCTTTGACAGAAACAAATACGACTATGGAACCTTACTACCATCGCAAGGCCACAACCCATGAACACCTTGTTTTAAACTGTTCTAAACTAAGCGTAAAGTGAGCCATTGCAATGAATGTAGGAGGGTCGCTAACATTTAACTATAACGCTCTTAAATATTCGTTTGCAAAGTCAAGCCTAGTTCATGAGAAAATCGCAAGTGTAAATGAACTAAACTCAATATTAATACACCATTTGAGATCGATTATTGAACCCATATTTTTTTCAAGCAAAGTAATGGCATCTTGGTTTCTTTATTGGATATTGGATAACAATCGAACCTTAAAAAATTCAGAAGCAAGACAGGTCAAGTTTAAACAGATCAAGAGGTGCAAGAAAATTGTGTGTGTCATCAAAATTGTATCTGATAGAATGATTAATCATTGCAGAATTAATTAATTGTTCCGCTGTAATTCGTCATCAGTGATTTATCATATGATCTTCTGTTAAATCAAGTGCACGCCTATCTCAACTTCTCAGACGGCCAAATCCTATCTGAGGATTATCGATGCTAAATCTAGGAAAAAGTAATCCTTCTCCCCAAATTCAACAGACAGATTATCTTATCTCCATTAGAAACATCGGAGAATATGATACTTTTGCTTTTTGTCTCTTCCTGTCTTTTTTCTCTCTTCATCACTTTCTATTTTATCGTCCTCCCTCCTCCCTATCTTTCTCTTCTTTCTTTCTTTCTTTCTTTCTTTCTTTCTTTCTTTCTTTCTTTCTTTCTCCCACTGTTCTATTCTGGTGATTAATCTTTTCTTTCTTTTTAATACTAGCATATTTTCTTTCTTTACTATTTTCTTTCTTTTTCCATTTTCCTTTTATTACCCTTTCCTTCTTTTCCTTCCTACGTGCTTATTTTTTTCTTTATTCCTTTTTTCTTTTTTCATTCCTTTTTCTTCCTATTTGCTTATATTTTTACTCCCTTTTTTCCTTCCTTTTTTTTCAGTCTTCTCTCCTTTCTTTCCCATTTATCTCTTGACCTTCTTCCCCTAAATAAACTTTTTTGTTTCGATTTTCTTTTCCTTTTTACCCTTTCTACGCTTCTATTTTTTTAATTCTATTTTTCATATATATATTTTCATTCAACTTTCTTTTATCGATTAGTACCGATTTCATCAAATCGTCATCGATTTTGGTGCCCATGTATTTCATGAACAGCAGATCAAATGTTAAAATAATGTCAATAAACATTTCTGCAAAAGTCTCCAAAATTCAACATGCGGTTCGTATCCAACCCGCTATAGTATTCCAAGTCACTCTCATTGCAAAATTTCTCCCTTGTTCTGAAACATATAATGTTGATTGTAAAAAAGCACCTGCATCCACCGTCATGTGAGTGGCTATACCAGGCCTGGAGAACCTTTTCGGACCAGTGCGGCACATGGTATATGGGCTATCCTAAGGCGAGCTGCACTATTAAACGTTTCAGTATAATTTGCCGTGACTATCATTGTCACTACAGACAGCTGTTCCCCAAGGCTGGGCACCTCTCGGTATAACTTTCCCCAGTTGCAACTCTGTCCTTTGAAAGGGTTCCTCTTGAGCACAATCTGCCCAAAGACAGAGACGCAAATAAGAGATGACAAATGTGTTACAAGAGAGCAATTTACACACTGCATAAATGTGTTACTCAAGAGAGCAATTTACACACTGTATTTACTTGACACCCCACTGAGTCAGTTTGTAACACAAGGTCAGTTCTTAACATGGGGACCCGAGTGTCTTCACTCGGGCCACTGGTCTTAGCTCGTCAGAGCTGGTCTAAGCTGGTTAGAGCCAGTCCAAGCTAGTCATAGCTGTAATACTACCAGCGCAGGGACAGATCCCTGTGCCTGGTAAGTATTAGAATGTGCATACCACACGAGGGGGAGGAATTTACACATGGTATTTACTCTGTCTCCCCACTAAGACGAATTGAGACACAAGGTATTTTTTAAGGTGGGGACCCAAAAGCATACACCTGGGCAAGGAACAAAACATGCCCACAGCCCCCACAACCGTCGAGCACCGATACCTCTCTCTGGTGCAATGAGAGGGTGCAGCCTGAGGCAGCTCTTCCCCAGGGCTGGGCACCTCTCATTATAATTTTTCTCAGTTGCTACTCTGTCCTTTGACGGAGTTACCCCTGAGCACACTCTGCCCAAAGAAATTTCAAATCAGTTACATATCACCCAAATAGCTCAAATATACACAACAAAAACATGTCCGAATATGCGGGATTCCGGATATGAGGCACTCCAGATATGAGGGATTCCGGATATGAGGGATTCTAATGTATATTTCTTAAAATAAAAAAAAAATATTATGAACGTGTTCTGTTTCCAAAGTAAAAGGTGTTTACACGACTGATCTTCCCGAGTAAAAATCGTTTATAATGATGAAAACATTACATTCGACGGTAGTCTAAAAATTATGCAACATTGCACTTAATCATCGTTTATTTATGTGGTTACGTACGAAAGTGTGTGAGTGAACAAGTGAGAAAGAGACGAAAAAAATTTAAGAAATTCTATTTTCCTCATGAAATTAGGCGAACTATTCTAAAAGCCAAATAGGCCGGATCTATCCTGCGGGCCGCAGTTTGAACATGAGTGGGCTATGCCCTCAAAGTGGCCCTTTGCCACAAACGCGTAGTTCGTCCAAAGCTCATTTCCGATCTCAAATACAACGCGTATATTGGTGCCATCGGAAAAGATACAGGAAAAATGGTTGCTTCTTTGTATAGCCCAAGAAAATACCTAACAGCCGCTACTATGCCGCTGATCTTTACAAGTGTCAGATCAGAGTATGCATGGAGTATTACTCCCGATCTCAAATGGAACCATGATCTATCTTTACAAGACTAACAAAGGAGTATTATTCCCGATCTCTAATGGAACCATGCTCTGTCTTTACAAGACTAAATATGGAGAATTACTCCCGATCCGAAATGGAACAATACTCTATATTTACAAGAGTAAGAATTGAGTATTACTCTCGATCTGAAATAGAACCATACTCTATCTTTACAAGACTAAGGATGGAGTATTACTCTCGATCTGAAATGTAATAATACTATATCCTTACAAGACTAAGAATGGAGTATTACTCCTATAACTGCCCACTCATCATTGTCCGGCCTCGACAGATTTCAAAACCGATTACGCGACCCTCAGCCCACAGACGAAACGTTGTTAACCTCTCATAACTCTATCCCAATTACTATGCCAGATGTTTAGATGAGTTACATTCCATTGTCCCAACAGCTCAGACCTTCACTGCTCGGACCTACTATGACATATTCACAGTCGCTAACCATTACAATTCCCTTCGTTGTTCCTTTGATAAGGAGCAAGCTCGACCCAAACAGCTACTTTCCTAGAACTGTAGCTTTGTAAAACAGGCTCTTGAGCGGATGCTTCACCAAAAACCATTTTGGTATCCAGGATCAAACGTTATCTATTCTACACGACTTAATACTGTAAAGCTCTATCTTGAGTGACCCTTGGGTTTTTCATTCGATGAACTATCCGTAAGTGTGTACGTGGCTGAGTGCTTCGCTTTCCAACCCTGAGACCCCAGTTCGAATTTCAACATGGTCAATTTGTGAGGAAGGTGACTTGTTGAAATTATCGGCCTGTGTAGGCGATTCTAAAGTGTCTGAAAAACGTACACCGGGTTGAACCAAACCTTGTGTGGGAAACTGGGTAGACGAAAGTATTTGGGAGTCGTCTGTGGTTGTTTTAGCACGAAGTCGCAAGTCATTGTGACTGAGGGTTTGAGCGTACGGGTTTTGTTCGGAGTGTTGATCATGCCAGATAATTCACTCGCACCCAGAAATTGTAACTAAGTTCCGCTCTGCATAGTTGCATTATAAACCATAGGTGGGTTCTGTGGTTGTTGAGCAAACACAAGTGTGCTTAAGAAGGCGTTTGCAATAAGAATTGGTTAACGGCCCTAGCCCCCCCCCCCAAAAAAAAAAAAAAAACAACAACAAAAAAACAAAAAAAGAAAACAAACTAGGGTGCGTATGAGAAGGCCTATGTTAAAATGACTGAATTAGGTTAGAGAGAATGTGGTATGCATCTCACCCAGGATCACATAAGAAAATCATTTTGCATTCAGTCTGACGCAAGAGAAACCATGACTTTTTATGATGTCAACGAATACTTGTTGTCACTTTCGTAATGTTCGTTGTAGTAGAGACTTTGTAATCGCAGATAACAACTATAGTAACGCCGTTGAACAATACTGGTGTCAGACGCCTTCGAATACCACCCGCACTAATAGTACTTGCTCGATAATACTCGCTCGAATAGAAATCCGTATGGTGATCCGAATAGAGAAATAGTATAGTGAATAGAGTAGAGAAGAGCGGTCCGTATAGTAATAGAGGATAGACTAGAAATAACGATCAATTAGACGTCACGCGACTTACTACTGATGCGTTTCTCCCATGGTCACATCATCTACTTAATTCAAAAATGGGATCACCTGTTTGCTCATTGGCGATACATGTTCAAACTCAAGTGTCGGCAGTGACACTTTATTCCTATATAAAATGCATAATAAGAAATTATATGAATAAAAAGCATAAAAATTATTATAGTGAATAGAGTAGAGAATAGCGGTCTATATAGTAATAGTGGATAGGATAGAAGTGCAGATTCGTATAGTATAGAGGATAGACTAGAAAAAGCGACCAATCTAGACGTCACGCGTCTTCCTTCTTATGCGTTTCCTCTATGGTCACGTGGTCTACTTAATTCAATAATGGGATCGCCTGTATTTGCTCATTGGCGATACATGTTCAAACTCAAGTGTTGGCAGCGGCACTTTATTCCAATGTTCGTCGACGAGGTGTTCTGACAGATTACCTCCTTGCTATCATGTGCCGATTTGCGAATCACGGGATATCAATGGCTGTCCCGTAATGTGAACACGTGGGAAAGAATCGATTGTCAAACAGATCAGTAAAAACCCACCCGAGAAGGAAATAGAAAATCTTACTTACCAAACGAGATATAGAATCCACGACTGAAGAAAGTTCCACGGCCGCACACACTCACTGACGGACGGTAATTTGACAAAGTTAAATAAAATGTGGTCAATATCATTACCATCAGTCCATTGACCGGGTTTTGGTCGCTTCTCAACTGGCCACCTGACGACTCCCCTCTACATTTCGTTAAAGAAATCCGAGGAGCTATTCATTCATAGGTGGCCTGTTTTAAGTATGTAGACCTGCCGTCCCATATTCCTCTCTAGATTAGACCACAACCAGTAGCCTCCAAGTTTAAGGCTCCATATGCTCACTAACATTTCTGTTGATTCCATTTCCCTGAAACTTCATTGCAACTCACATGTTCAGTCCATGGTATTCCCAGCATCCTTCTGTAGAACCACGTTTGTGTTGCTTGGTATCTCTTCTTCATTTGTGAAAATATGGTCCAGCATTCCCTGACATATAGCAGAACTGATTTACATTGTTTATATTCGGACAAATGTGCCCGCATTTCTTGTTATCAGCACAACGTTTCGGACATTGTGTCTTCCGGCCTTCTTCAGGAGTCTGACAATCTTCGTAATCTTTATGGACCTTGGACTTTTTATAAAATCCATTTCATGTGGAAAGAGGGTGATGGATAATTGAACAGGACTAAAACGAATAAATCTTCCTGGATAAGAAGAAGCCATCTCTAGAACATCGTTTTGTGTTGAGTCGTCGTAGAGAGGACAAAGCCAAACAGGAGAAAAGATATCAATCATCAGTCTGTCGCAATAATCATAAGAATTATGAGAGGCTGTTCTCCTTTGAGCATCAATATTGATAAAGATTACACCAATTTCTCAGCTGGTAATAACTCCATCTGAAAAGAAAAAAAAAATAATAACAGCATTCGCGATCTTGGCTTCTACCTGGGGTTATGCAATGCTCCCTAGTGTCGGTAAGAAATATTCCTTTATCTCAACAAACAGACAAGGCCAATTATTGTTATAAGCATCACTACTACAGGTACTAGATGTAGTATTATTTACTTATTGAGTATTCCCACCATCACTAAGAGGTGACTTA